CTTGTGGGAACAGATGGTTAAGCAGAGCACTGTACATCTTATTTGATTTTCTTTTGTATTTCTTATGATGTTTTCTACTATTAATAAATTCACAACCTAGTTTCCATGATTCATTGTTTGTGATTCCTGTATGCGTATCACTTGCGTCGCTATAATTTGTTTCTTTTCTGTAAATCAACATACTTAAATGTCAAATATGTTTTGTGTGCAAGGATCAACAAGTATCAGTTCTTGTAATTTAAAACTTTTGTCCAATATCACAAGAGAAAAGAAAAAAACATATGATGATGTAAATATATTATTGTGATTTATTCTGTCATTAGTCCTCATTTTGCTCATTAAAATTAGATTTTCTAAAGATAAATCAATAGCTCAAGTTCTTAATAAAAAATATGGCCAAGTTCTGAATGGTAAAAAATTCTCAAACTTCACAAAAATAGATATCATGCAAATTTCTTGAATGTAAACAACAGTGTTTTTCCTAATTTTTATAATTTCACCCAAAATAATACAAAACAGCAAACAATATATTGTTGCACAAGAAAGTTTTCTGAATGTTGAGATTAATATGAAAAAATAATTAGTTTCCTTATAAAACAATGTAACTTTTCTAAATCATCTAACCGAAGAGAAATGTAACAAGATCTTACTTAGAACAAGGTTAATTGAACTTAAAAAGTTATATAGATTAAAATATTTTCAGTATAATGTGTCAAATTTTAGCAAAAAAACTAATTAAGTGCTTTATAATCTTTCTGCTTATCAGTTGAGTGACATAGAGATGTAGGTTCTCAAGGGGTTTAAAATTCTTTATTCTGCTCAAAAAAAGGTTCAGTTTGTAGATACTTTTACACCACTAGGATTACTTTTATGAAATTTAGAAGAGTTCCCTATTTAGCCGAATGATATAAGCTTTCAAGAGGTTTGAGCTTTGATTTTAGGTTTTACTTTAGAGTATGTTTATGATTATAATCACAAATACACAGTACACAATATATCTAGATAAGAAGCAGCAGCTCTACAGACTTCAGAAAACAAAAAAGATACTTTCACCGTAAAGTTAATGGCATCTTAATCCTGAATAAAAACGATAATACAAGCAAAGTTTTGTTGAAGTAAATTTAAGAAACTAAAAGAGTACCTGACAAAACAAAGAGAAGTGAATTAACAAAGACTTTTGTTCAAGACAAAAAAAAGATGTTTTCATTATTGATTGGACCTATAATAACCTAAGACCTGTAGGCTCACACTATAGCATATCATATGGTTTGCAAAGGTTCATAAAACAAATGTCCTTGTAGTTTCCAACAATGGCTCTTTTAATTACAAAATAACTGGATTTACAATTATTTTTTTGAATGAGCATATCTATAACAAACACACAATTAATAATAATTTTATATTCTCTTCACTGGCAAAAGACCTAAAATTTGATAAATAGATTTACTGTGGTAATTTTAATATTATTATTTACCACTTCCTCTAAATTAACTCTTTCCCTAATGGCTTGGCCAATTCAACTGAGTTTGTGATCCCAAAATGACCAACATAGTTTCCATACTATATCTTTTAAAATGTTTAATGTATGTATCTTCATGAAATTTCTTAAGCTTCCAGTAAACACTGCAAGTCTGTTGTACACACACACACACACACAACAAAAAACAGAATTCTTAAATTATTTTTATATGGAGTCAATGTATTCACTGCTCTAATGCAAAGTGATTAAGAACAAAAATACTTTTCTTTATCTGAAAATTGTCAAATGTCATCTGCATAATCTCTAAAACCTCTTAAATACATATTAAACGTTTTTTTTTCAGTAAATTTTATATTTTATCTGTTATTTTCTCTACCCTAGTTCCATACACATTTGATCAACTTGACCTACCTTATAACCTCCATACAAGAATATGAAATAAATCTAATTTACCCCTTTTCTTTCCTTTCTACAATGACTGCAAACTGTAACAGGGAACTACAGATGGTCATGCTAAATAGCTTAAAACTCATAACACTATACTGTATATACTTGAATATCACTGTTTTACTGTTTTGAAGGAAGTCAACAAAGCTATTCATCTAGTACCAAATGTTCCACATTGTTTTGTAACTTTTGTGTTACCATATCTAGTCATGTGTACAGACATACTAAAAATAAAAGGCTTATTAAGAGAACTAATCCACAAATTAATGTAAGAATGGTTTTAAACTTCAAAGAAATATTCAAAACTTCTTTTACATCAAAGATAGTATCCTTTTATTTAAGCATTTCCATGTCATCTATAAATATTTATGTCCTTGCTATAAGAGAGGTTATATGAGTTGAACTATTTGAACACTTGAAACATGGATTAAAGAACACACAAAAAAAACAGTCAATGTGCTGGCATCTGTACAAGAGCATACATACAAATGCAGTATTCCTGTTCTCAGCAATCAGTTTTCAATCAATGGTTCAGCTGATTGTGAGAAACTTATGGTTAAAGAATATCTATTCATCAAGACTTTAACTCTTCATATGTCACGAGGTTTTACCGAGTTACATTCAAAATTTAATTAAACAAATTTATTATTATGGTATACAAATAACATATCAAAACATAGTCAATAAATGAAATTTTAATATTATAAGTTTTAAGTTCTTAATTTTACAAGAAAATAAAAAAAAATCCCCAATCTTACCCATTACGGGAATTATGACATTTGGTATCTAGCTCTTCTCTAATTTATTTATCACTCCTCTGAGAAGTAGGGAATTTAATTTAAATTACTCATTAAAATATAGGTATTACTCTGGCAAAGTATAAACCTTATAACCTTCAATTTTATTTAGTTATGGAGTCATAAACTAGGATATGAGACTCACTTGTCACACCCTCTTTTTCATAAATTGCCAAGAGTTCTCTTAAACATTTAATACTATATTATTTATATCCAAAAGAAAGCCAAAGTTTTAATATATCAAATGACAAATTATAACAAGTTGTTTTCTGTACAGGGTATTGTATATTTCACTTCCATTTCAAACTTTATTCCCACAGAAAACACATTGATGAACTTAGTTGAATTTTTAACAGCCCTTATCACATAGTTACAAAGCCAGAAAAATTCTGTGTTCTTAGGTGTACCATCTAATGAAATAAGAAATTATTTAGTCTAGTATTATTAGTAGTATAAAAATGTAGGGTTAAGTTTATCAACAGAAAAAAAAAAAAGAAAAATGAAGACTCAGGTAAGTTTTTCATGTGCATTCTTTATTTATTATTATTAGGTGAAGCAAAGAAAAATAATATAATTTATTCACAAGGTATGCTTGTGAATTGCTTGTGCGTTATGTAATTCAATACGGTAAACATGAGCTACTCAATCGTCGAGTGACTTACAATGTGTGGCAGTACTATTCATTATTTGGGATGCATGGGAACCTGACCAGATATTTGGCACCAGTTACAGTCAATGATTGGTTTAGTTAAAAAAAACGTGTTCCTAGCAACAAAAACTGACTACCTGCTGAAAGTCGGGAATTCAGAGAACAATATGGGTTAATAACAGGCATGGCTTGAGATGTGGATTTTTGGGGACGGTGGGGTTTTTGAGAACAATAGGGGTTAGGGTTTTAGAAGTTGGGGCTAGGCATTGAAAGTTGAAAGTAAAAACTTGAATTTTCTGTTGGTGATTATTTGGTTAAATCTAATAAATGTCAATTTTGTTTTTGTTTCTAATTTTTGTGTATATATTTTTTTGTGGGGTAGGGGTGGGGCGGATAGAGGCTAGAACTTGGTCCCAGTTGACACCAGGCCCTGGTATTCAGCCAAATTTTATGAATCATGTAACAATATGCATTATACAAAGTTCAAAGAACAATAAAATTTAATTATAAACAGATGTATACTTTTTACAAGCTTTAAGCTATGTAGGATAAACAAATATATTTTCATGTTAGTCATTCTAGAAAGAAAAAAAGGGTAATTTATATTTATTTCATATCTTTTTATGGTAGTTACGAGGTTGGTCAATTTGACCAAGTTAGGGTAGAGAAAATAACAGGAAAATATCAAGTTTTACTGAAAAAAAAACCAAAAAAAAAAAAACGTTTAGAAATATATTGTTACGACAGCGGAAGTCACATGACACTGGTAACACGTCATGAGATTCTCGAAGGATCTTGACTTCTCTTGGCAACTCTAGTCTTTTCTAGGCACCCTCTATTTTAGTATATAAGCCCAGCAAATAAAGCAGATATAATTGCAGATAGACAGATAATTGAGTCAAGCAAGCGGAAGTGACCATAAGTAAAGTGCATGAATCATTGTCAATTATAGCGTGTGTTGAAGTTAAAGTGACTGTGGAAATTAAATGTATTGAGAAAGAATAACAAGTTTTATTTAAGAAAGGACTTGTATCGCTGAAGTTTCTCGGGAAGAATTTATACCGGAAATTAACAAACGATCAGAGACGTAACAATATTTAGAAGGTTTTAGAGATTATACAAATGAAATTTGAAAATTTTCAGATGAAGAAAAGTATATTTAATCTTATCATGAAAATCACTTTGCACTTGGAACTCAGCATATTGCCGACAATATGTTCAAAAGAGAAATTTTTAGTAAAAATACTTCATTAAAACTTCTGATTTTTTTTATGTCAAAAGACTTTTAAATGTTTACTGAAAGTTTGTCAAATTTCATGAAGATCCATTAAGTACTTTTAGAATTATTATATGTATACCACCATGGTAACAAGATTGCATGAAATATAGTAGCCCGTTGTGACAGTTATGACCAGAACTGAAGCGAAGCCAAATTGCAATACAATTAGCACTGAAAATGTGATTGAAAAATCGATTCTGTGATTACCATGAAAGCCAAATGATTCAACAAACTAGAAAACCAAAGCATAATTGGAAAAAACCACAATTAACTTATAACTGAATTGTGAGTTGATCTGCTTTACAGTATAAAATAACCAATAATGTTGCTACATCATGTTATCTTTACCTCTAAAGGAGAACAGGGACTGTCAGAACCAATGAGTTTAGCTCCACTAGTTATGATCTTCTGACCAATTTTTAGCCTTTCCTGCTGCACAATCTTAATGAGAGGATTGTCAAGTTCTGCCAGGATACTGTACCATCCATCTGTCAGCTCCACCTGTACTTCATGAATCTGTGTAAAGTAAATGAAGTCCATATTCTAATGATGGTGAGCACAATCACTTAAAAATTACCTTAATTTAAACATGCAATATATTTAAATAAAAAGTCCTATGTCCTTTTGGAAGATAAGTTTCTCCAAACAAGTGGTCTTATGCATTGTCAAACTTCTAATTATAAATATTACTTAAAAATTTTTAATTTACACACTATGTGGTTATTGTAGTTTCTGATATTTTTCAAATAGTTTAGACTAAAGCACTTGTACATAATTTATATAATGCTACAGAATGACCTGTATTATTTGTATTTGTTGTATAAAAATATAATGTTCTCATAAAAATTAAAATGGAAATAAAAAAATAAAATAATACATAAATTCAAATTAAGCAAAGTGAGGTACACATTTTTTTCAGTTCAGTAAATAAGCTTAGTGAACTTTTATAGACACATAATCCTGTATATGTAAAATTATATAATGTGAGTAGGAATATGGTTTAACCATATGGTTTTTGATGACATTTTTTAATTCCTTCCTACATATGTACTGTGTTATATTCAAAATTAAATTAAACTTTATAATGTATGTTATAATTTGAATTTTTTTGTTATCTATAATTCTTTAACTTCAAAAGAAACCTTTCAAAAAACTCTTAAACTTCAGTTTTCATGTCATGAGATCCATGTGCTATTGAAAATCTTGACTTCACCAGAGGTCTAAAACCTGCTTTTTCTGGGAAACAGCTATAAATTTTCCAACTCTTAATAGTGCCATGCCCAGCTTCTATAATTTGCCTTGAGATCTACTATGTACATGTAGCTTGCAGACCCAATTCTCGTTAGAAAGAGATCAGTTTACACCTTTCTCCACCAAGTTAATTTGAAATTGGTATGCAGTATTCCTCACAGCATACATGTAACTGCTGTTAGTATTGCTTTGCTGACTATAGCACTTACAGTGGTTTCTTGCCTAAATATGCTGTAGTTAGAGAGATAGTTAAATTGTATTTAGGTATTACCTTTATATTTTAGATAATTATGTATTATTTGTGTTTTAAAAATTATATTTGAAAAATTAAATTATTTTTTTTTAAGTTTAATTTGTTGTTGCCTGGATTGTAAAAGTGAATGATCAAGATGGCGTCATTTGTATGTGCAACGCTTAAGTATAATGGGTGTCTGTATAAACTAAGAGTGAAAAGATAGATGTGAAGTTACACGTTAAAAAAACAAGTTTCAAAGGACTTCTACAAAGAGATAAAGGGCATGTATATATATTTCCATTTCTTAATTTTAAACATTTCATGGCAGTATCATGGCAGATAAAAATTAGAGTTAGTAATATTGTAGAGAAAATGGAAAATAAAATATGAACATTTAACTTTAAAATTTTTAATATTCATTTAAGAGGTTTCAGAGATTATGCATATAAAATATAAAACTGTAAGATAATAAATAGTATTTTTATACTTCATATATAAATCACCTTGCAGGTGAACTATTCAGAATCCAAGTACAGATAATTACATTAAATAAGACTTTTTTTTATTAGAAATAGTAGAAAAAATATTTTTTTTTTCTGAAACCACAAATTTTTGGGAAGGTTCTTGTGAAATTTTAAACAATTTCATCTGCTATAGTTTTACTTTTGGAATGAAATATTATGAGAGTGATGTTACCTTCTAAAAAAATTTAGAAGTCGACACCCAAAAGGTTAACACCATGACTTTCAAAAATGAATTTTAGTACCTGAATCAGATATTTAATACATTAAAACAACAACATTGCCTTCTCTTCTGAAGGACAGTAAATCCTCATGGAAGTATCCAATATCTTTAAAGACACATACACATAAGAGCTTGAAATTAGATAAATCACTACTGCAAAAATCCATTAACTTTGAAGCCTTCTGAACTAAGGATGTTCTCTCATCAAGCATAAATAACAAATAGAAAACGTAAGATATCACTACAGAAACATTTTACAAGTTAAACCATGTTTTTCAAATTATAATTTAAATGTATAGGTAGGGTAGACACAGCAAAATGTTGGAGCACTTACATACAGAAGGAAAAATGAATTCATAATTTTTTTCTTAAGTAAATAATAGAAATATTGTTTAAACTCATAACAATAAATAATTTTCAATATGTCCTTTTACAGAAAAAGAAGGAGCACATTTTATGCACTAACAATTATGATAGATTTAATTCTGATATTTAAAGTTGAAAAGTACAAAAGATTTGATCACAAAATAATTCAACAACAACTATGCAGTTCAGTTATGGAAAATAACAGATAAACAATTGTGAGAAAACAACTGAGCATATGGCAGTCCCAAGCCAAAGTTTTGTGTTGTAAAAAATCTATAAACATGGAATAAGTGAAAAACTGTAAGAATGAAAATATTTACTGGGCAATATTTTCATTTTGAAAGTTTTTAATTTTTCAATTTAAAAATAATTTAATTCATTGGGCTTATAATATAGTTAGCTTCTTACCTGTTCCACTAAGAAGTACAAAATGTAAAGTTTTTTTTTTTACAAAAATAAAAAAAAATTCCTGTACAGTCAATTGATACCATTATTAAGAATTATTTAAAATCTCTGTACATTTCTAAAATCAGTAAGTGCGTTGAAACTAAATAGTTTATTGTATTATACCTTTTACTGGCAAACATGCAATAGAATTGAAGAAAAAAACTAATGCAATTTTGAAATACAAAATTTATCCATAAATTAAATTAGAATTGTTTTCAAACCAATATGTTGTACATGTAATTATTTTTAATTTAAAAATAGGATCTGTGAAATGCATCTCTCTTAAGTCATCTAAAGATTTAAATGTCCAAAATGTAGCCATGGCTATCTGTTGTTTGAGCTCAAGAACCAAAAGAGCATGAGCAAAATACATTACATAATCAGTTGGCCATTCTTCATCACTGTTTGCAAGACTGTGACGTTAGAGTTAAAACTAACAATTTCAGCATCTTAAGAAGTGCAGCCAATGAAAAAATGCTCTGTACTAAAAAAAAAACACTTGTGGGTACATAAGGTGCATCCTGAACTGAATGTCAACCAGAAGGATAAAAGGTTTTATTATGATAAATTGGAAAAGATACAAAATCATTCTGTGAATTATGTTCAGAATGTCAAAAATTAGTCCTCCCATTGGAAAAATGCACCATTATAAAGAATGGCAACACTAACAGCACCATTTCAATTAGTTTTGATGAATATATTAGGCCTCTTTTCCCAATTCTTATGTTAGAAACAAATATACTTTAGTTTGTTTGAATTATCTGGAAAGGTATCTGAAACAATTAACCTACCAGAACAAAAAGCAAAAAAACTGCTAAAGTTTCTGTAAATCAGGTAGTAGCAAGACATGGAATACCACACTAGAAGGTCAAGTTATTGAACACTTAAACCAGTTTTCAGGTATTATTCAAAATATGCAGCAAAAAAATCCTAAAAGCAACTCTGAATTCCAAATATCAATAACTGGACTACATACAAACACTCAAAGAGAAATTAGACCACCAACTAGACTGCTACCTCAAACCAGATGATTACGGCAATATACAATGCGCTATCAACCAAAACAACCCATTTTTGAATCAAAAAAAGAAGTCCATACACAATAAGAAATTACAATAACTTGAAGTGAAACACAACGTGCAGCTCAGCCTAACGTTGTAATCAACAGATTTGACCAAACACTCAACGACACAGGACTTCAACTCTTAAATGAAGGCCTCAACTTTGCCATCAACCACAAACAGCTCCATGCCTAGAGTTTAAGACACGCCTAGAAGATCTAGCCAGAAGACCAGTGACCCCCTACATAAAAGAACAAAAGACCAGTGACCCCTGCATAAAAGAACAAAAGACCAACTCTACCTGAAACATCCTCCAGCTAAAGAAAGAAGAAATCCATGACATCAACCAACACTTTTATTACAAGCAACTACAAAAATTGTGGTTTCCTGAAGTTCTCAATCACTATATTTTAAATAACTTTTTAAAGAATTCTCGAACAAGACTATTAATATAGTTAACCAATCCTGTAAACTGAAAAGTAACCTCACAAGTAACAAGATAAAATCCATTTATAATCTGAAAAAAAAAAAGAAACCAACATTAAAATTCTAAAAGCTGATAAAGGCAACACCACTGTAATCATGAAAAACTCAAAATATATCAACAAAATGAACGACATCCTTTCCGATAAAAGGAAATTCAAAGTCATTCCAAACAACCCAACTAACACACATGAAAAACAACTAAACAGAATTTTATTACAAAAGAAAAAAGATAATTTAATTATTGACAATCTTTATTTTTATCCACGTAAAACTGATTCACGCACACCCAAACTCTATGTCATTCCTAAACCACACAAACAGGACAGCCCCTACGACCTATACTGTCCACATATGATTCTTTCAACTACAATCTTGGCAAATATATAGCCTGGGTTTTCACAATATGTAACATCTGCAGGTTCCTATTTTAAAGATGCCTTCAATTT